ATAGTGTGATATCTTGGATATCCCCTCCCTGCAAATGGCAGGCAATTTAAATAATATTCTGAAGACCAAAACATAAGCAGATGAAATCTACACCAATATTCCTTTGATGCAGCTGGATCAGAAATATTTTTCTGTGATGAGCCCAGGGCCAATTAATGAGGCTTGGAGGAAAGTAGAACAGATGGTAAGCTTCAAAGTAGGCTTAAATCTACACACCTCTCTTTGCTAGAATAAGAAATGTTTGTCAGAGGATAAAGAGTAAACCACTTCAAAATGGAAACTAAATTTATTTTTACTTAGGGCAAACTATTCTAAAAGATTTTACCAACTATTTTAAAAGATTTTACTAACTATTTTAAAATATTTTACTAAGCAGCAATGTTTGAATGCTTAGCTACATATATAGGGGACTTACCTAATGTAATACATTCCATACAGACTGTGGGATTATACTGGCTCTCAGTTTTAGATCATACATAATTTCTACCCTAAGCACTGGCTAAGATGCACTGTGAAGTAAATAGAGAAAATAAAACTCCAGGTAAGAAAGGTAAGAAAACACAATTCTAATAATTCCAAAGCAGAACTGAAGGTAAAAAGTGGGATATGGTATCATATTGGAAATGTGGTGATACTAGCATCTATATAGGCAACATTATGATTAATTACTATAAATGGGGTAGATCTCAAGAGTAGATGGAGGCTGCATTCAGATTCAAAATGGGCAAATGGGATTTGGATTTAAAAGAGAACCTTGTTCTCATTGTTAGCCCTCCTTATAAGACCTTTTTCTGAGATATAGTGATATAGTGGCATGACCCAAGAAAGTAGGCATTTAAATTAAAGGAGTGCAAGGAGAACATGACAGAACAACAAAATATGGCCACCACGTCCAATATGAACTGCTGCCAGGATGTTGTAAAGATCTAAATGAAATGGCTGAACTGAGTCCCAGTAAGACAGTGTGTTTTTTATCCTCAAATTAGCAGTCTCTACTCTGCATTCTGGACAGAGTTGTACTTCTAAAAAGAAGTCCAAGATTTGGGTCTCCTAGTTTAATGTTTCCTGCTACAGAAGCAAATACGAACCATTGCTATGAAGATTTTGCCAAGTTTTAATTGATGCACCAATAGCAACATTTTTTAGTGGAAGTCACTGCCTTTATTATTTTGAAGCTAGACTACTGTAACATGTTATATTTGGAGCTGCCCTTGAAGACTACCTGAGAACTTCATTTGATTAAAAATGCACTTACTCATATCCTGATGGGTGAGGACTGCTATAAAAATATTATTGGAACTATACTTTTATTTTCAGTGAAATTCAATCAACATGGCTTTGGTTCAGGATACATATAAAATCATCTCTTCCACAGAGAATCTTGCCATTCCATTCAATTAAACATACATTTTCCCACTTGATAAACTGAGAAGGGGATGAACTCAAAAGAAGGTCTTTTCAAGCTTACCCCACCACTGTAGAATATTTTTCTACAGTCCTACCTTTTCATTGAACAATGAAATTTTGGATCTTTTGAGGGACTATTTGGAACATTGGAGTTGCAATGAATTATATACGCAGTCATTCTTTCTTTATATTTATTTTATGATGGTGCAGCTTTTTAATCAATTTTATTTGGATGTTACAGGACCAGAATTTCTAGAGGTAGGTAGAATTTTGATGCTGGCAAATAAATCAACAAACTACTGAATGAATAATCAATGGCTATAATGTCTCAACTTTGTAAAAAGCATAAAACATCTAGGATTGTTTTTCTCAGATTTTGTAACAATGTTCTGCATAATCTAAAAAATAAAATATAAATACTTGGCCCTCTTGATGGAATGGAAACTGTTTTATATTAAAGGTTTATCTTTTAGAAATCAGAAAGAGTAGCCATAAAAGGTAACATCATTCATAGTCTAGAAGACTGCATTTGTTGTGATTAATTCATTCGCCCTGAAGTTTACAAGCTCTGAAAGTTGAAATGTTATATATCTACAAGCAGTGAAACTCAAAGAGATTTGATGACCAAGGCATATGTGATGAAAAAGGGGAAAAATGATTCTATTGCCAATTGCCACATCAATCTAATATACAACATAGATATATAAACAGCCTGTTTTGATAAAGACGTTATTTATTACCTATACCATATGTTGTACTGTTTTTAGAGTTGCTGTGATTTAAAAACTCCCTGGAGGGCTACACTACTTTCAAAGACAAGTAAGCGAGCATGTTGTCCAAAATAATTATCTGTGTCCACTAGTTTACTTCGAGCTATATGTTGCTCTGTGCCAGGAAATCTGTGCATTTTCTACGTGGAGACAGTGTCTAATTTATATCTGAAGAGAGGTAAGCTTTTAATAATATTTAAAGGGACTACATAGAATGAAAATTTACTCATCAAAGAAGCTGTATTTAGTCTTTTGTAATACCCACTAAACACACACTCTTTGTGTGAGATTTCTTAATCTTTGTTTAACCAATTGATTCTTCTAGAAATTATTATGAATATATATGTTCATTTTATTTTTAATTGGCGTTATAGCTTGCTTTCATTCAGGAACTCAAGGCAGCATAGATACTCCTCCCTCTTATTTTTCTGCACAACATTATCCTGTGAGGTCAATTAGGGCTGAAAGTATGGCTAGCCTCAAGTTATCTAGTCAACTTCCATGGCCAAGAGTAGATTAGAAGTAGAAAATACTGTTTATAGTCAATGGCCCTAGGTAGATTAGAACATGAGTCTTCTTGCCAAACATAATCCAACACCTTAATCATTATGCCATATTAGTTCCTCATATAGGAAGGAAGGAAAGAAGGAAGGAAGGAAGGAAGGAAGGAAGGGGAAGGAAAGATTTTTTGCTGACAAAAATCTAATAGTTGTTCAGCTCAAGAGGTTGATCAAATCTTGTTTGAATGTGTTTTTTTTTGTTTTCTTAAAAATGAACATAAACACATGTATATTTAATTCCAGGATATAGATGAATTGACTCCATCCATCTTGTTCTTTTGTTATTAAATAAAGTAACTAAATAACATTAGTTAATTACCTAAGCTCCTATTAAAAACTATTCAGACAAAAATGTATTAATTCACCCAAAAAGCAATTGTCCAATAATTTTAATGGAAGACAGCAAATACAGACATATCATGGAAATAAATGCATATTCTGGGGGGAGGAACCAGTGAGGAAAGGAAAGAAAAAAGAGAATATGGGGAAATTTCAGAAGAACAGAGTAAAAAAAATCAGCAACTTGAATAAGAACAATTAATTAGAAACATGCCACTGAAATTTGATTTGGCAAAAATCTCTGGACTGAATCCTACAGAATATTTTTGAATATTTTATTGTGTATGATAAAATTATCCTGAAAATTTTATCTTCAGAATAATTGCTAGAAATTTTGTAAGTTGTTGAAACCTTTTTCTGTTTTAATAAACCTTTGGTGCAGATGGTGGACTTGGGCTACTGTTAAAATGTTTTCTTCCTGAAAGTGATGCTTGTTATTTATGGCTTGTATTTTTAATAAACCACCCTGAGTCTTTTGAAGCGGAATAGAGATATATGAATGTGTGTTTATGTATGTATAGCAGAGCAGCATAGAACAAATGGCTTAAGGTGGCAGTAAATTTTTACAGGAGAATGTCTAGTGCATGTTCATAATCTTTTTCCTGAAAATCTCATTGAACTATGCTGGCTTGTGTTTTTCTCCCATTTATTTTAAAGATTACTCCAAACAAGTTTCTATACATCAAAAGACAAATAAAAAAACATACCTTATTAGCTTCTATATAATAGTCATTCCATAAAAATGATGGTTACTGGGCAGTATACCAACTCACTAATGATTGCAGTACTTCAAAATTCCTCAATAACTTCTGCAGGGCAGCAGACTAGATAAAGCTTTTCTTGAATCAACCTATTGCTGACCTTATTTCATTTTCCATAATTATACCATACCTTATATATTATTTGCTAGCTACTAAATATCTCCTTAAATTTAAGATGAAAATTGTATCAGGAACTTATGCTAGGAAAGCGCATAATGAGTATGACCTCCAGTCTACTGGTGCAGCTGTCAAAAACCAAATTTGTCTATAATTAACAAGAAGCTCCTATCTGCACATCCTAAGCACTATAATTTAACTACAGGCAGTTCTCGACTTACAACAGTTTATTTAGTGACCATTTGAAGTTACAACAGCACTGAAAAAATGACTTATGATTGTTTTTCACACTGACTCATCTTTATGATGGTTCCAGTGTCCTGGGGTCATGTGATCACATTTTGCAACCTTCTGACAAGCAAAGCCGATGGGAAAGCCAGATTCACTTAACAACCATGTTACTAACTTAACAACTGCAGTTTCATTTAACAACTATAGCAAAAAAGATCGTAAAATGGGGCAAAACTCACTTAATAAATGTTTCACTTAGCAGAAATTTGGGGGTCAATTGTGATTGTAAGTCGAGGAGTAGCTATGTATCTTAAAGGCCAAAAGAGCTCCATGCTTTCACAATGCCATCATTTAGAATTTTATGAATCAAACACAGAAAACATTCGACTCACACTTTTCTTTTTTTATAGACATAAGGATTATTGAAGTTTTCATTCTGACTACAGCAGTTATGCTTGCTGTCCAAATCATAAACATTGATTCATGTTAAGTATGGCACATTTAAACAAGGTCATAATTCATGCTGAAGGGCCGACCTTTGGATATATGGGCCTAAGAAATACCCACAGTTGAAAGTGCACATTGTGTTCTTCCATAAGAGTTATATGCACATACCTATTTATGTAGTCCTAAACTTCCTTGATCATGTAAAGAATACTAAGTGCATTGTGACTTTTGCTCACTACTAGAATGCCTACAAAATACAGTTAATTGAATTCATGTGGATTCAGGTTGGATATAAAAGAAATGAATCTAGAAACTAAACAGGTAAAAATTTTAATAAAATGAACATGAGGGACCATGCAGACACTCACCCAATGGTTGTCCTGCAATGATCCTGGCATTTTCCCCTGCCACAGCAGCTCTTGCGTGCCTCTCACTCATGTATTGTACAAATGCATAACCTTTGTGCACTGAACAGCCAACTATTCTTCCATACTTTGCAAAGATTGCTTCTATGTCTCCTTTTTTGACAATGGCTGTATTAAGATTACCAATGAAGACTCTCGAGTTGATGGATTTGGGATCATTCTTATTGGTGACATTACTGGTCTGTGTTTTGCCGGTCATGGTTGGGTCACTTGACTTCAGCCCTTGAAAAAAGATGACAAAGGATTTGATTTAGTTGTATAAAAACATGGATAGATTAATGTAAGAATTATAATCTAATAAGGGGAATAGTAACATTTAAATTAATATAAAGAAAAATTATGATGAAGTTACGATATAATGTTGATCAATATTAAGAAAAATGTAGAATTACTAAATATCCATTTTAAATATTTTTATTTTTTATGAACTTGAAATGTATAAATCAATCTGCTAAATTCAAGACTTCAACAATATTCACTTATTTTAGGTTGAATGTTTAGTCTCTGGCTTATTAAATATTCATCTGCCTTCATCATGTAAAATAATATAAGGTTTAGATACTACAAGTATCACTTAACGATCACAGTTGTGATCAGCAACTCCGTCGCTAAGCAATATGATCATTAACATCACATAATGCAATGGACCTTTGACCTCACTTCCACCATGGTTAACCAAATAAGCTATGGTGTTAAGTGAGATATCACAGGACCATGATTTGCAATTTTATTGCCTGCTACTCCACTGACTTGCTAATTTTAATCAAATCACAAAGTAGTCTCTTGTTTAGAGTTGAACCTGATTATAGTCCTTGTAAATAAATATATAAAAATGTACATGGTATAGCTACTCTGTGATAGTATGGTTTATTACATACAAAGTGTCTATCATTCATTGGTGATTTATCCTGTAATTAATATTAAGGTAATACAATAACTATGATGATCTCATCTTTATCATTTTATTTCTTAGAAAACTAGGCAGGGTGTTTTGTATTTTGTTTTGATAAGTAGAAATGTCAGGCACCAGGAGTAGGAGCTGAATTCAAAGCACTAAAATTAGTTACATGCTACCTATACGTACAAACCTAATCTATTAATGGACAAGGGAAATTGGCACTAGATAAGAGTCGATGGAATTCACATGTGGCTGGAGTTAGGTCTCTTGTAGCTGCGTAATGATTCCAAACTGATGATGCATTTGACCCTGCCTTTGGGCTTTGCCTAGTCATCTCCTACAGAACAACTTTATCCTAAGATTGTAAAATACATTCTGACAATTAGAAAATACTTCTGAGTATTTATGAATATATCAATATGTGATATTCTATTTTTTGTCATATTTATTTATTATTTTAATACTAAGTATAACAGATAACAGATAATCAGAGTTGGAAGGGACCTTGTAGGTCATCTAGTCCAATCCCTCGCCCAAGCTGGAGACCCTACACCATTTCTGACAAATGGCAGTCCAATCTCTTCTTGAAAGTCTCAAGTGATGATTACCTGCCTCTTCAAAACTTGGAAAGTCCTATCAGGCAACATAATCACCAAGCTACAGGAAGGACCAGTACAAAAGCATGCTTAGAAGGGCACTGGGAACAACATTAAGTCTCAAATCACTTGTTGCTCATAGATATAAGATTAGCCCCAAAAGTCTAGACAGACCAATATGGGCACAACCTGGATTGATTATAGGAAAGCCATGACTCAATGCCACAAGCGCATGATGTGTGAATGCCTTGCACTATACAAACAGGACATAAGGACCTTCCTCAAGAACTCAATGAGATTGGAAAGCAACACTGAAAATCAACTAAAGTTAACTTGCACAAGTGGCCATCAAATGAGGCATATACCGAAGTGATGCTGATCTTGCTGCTGTTCCGCCTGTTCTGCATAGTCTTGAACCCACTCAGCCAGTTAATCACAAGAACTGGATACAGATATAAGCTAAGAATGGAATAACCATTGATCAGTTTCTTTGCATAGATGACATCAAGCTGTATGTTAAGAATTAAAAAGACAATGACTCACTGATCCACCTGACATGGATCTACAGGGATGTTGTTCAGATTGGAGAAGTGTGTGAAGATAGTTCAATCTGATGTGGTGGAACTACCAGTGAGTCACATAACAGACATACAGACTGGCTACAAGTATCTTGGTATTCTACAATCACATGAAAATAATATGCAAGGAAGACAGCAATATCCAAGTACCTCCAAAGGATAGGACAGATCCTGAAGAGCTAGCTCAATAAGAAGAAGAGTCACACCAATTCCACATATGCACTGCCAGTCATCAGATACCCTGCTGATATAATGAGTTGGACAAAGGAGGGCATGAGGCTGCCAAAGTGAAGAGCCAGAAGTTCCTCACAATTACTGAGACTCCTAAGGTGGGAGAGTGGCTCCAACAGATCCCAGGTGCAACATTAGAGTTCTCTGTCCAGAAATGTGCAATGCTAGGAGCAGCTAAGATCCAATTTCAGTACTTTTCATTATCATTGATTATGGATGGATATCAATGACAAGTCTCTCCAAAACTTTGCCAAAAAAAACCTGTAGGGAATTACACCGGGCAAATGCCAGGAGTCAACAATGATGCAAAAACACCAGAAAAAAATGTAATTTCATGTAGATGTGAAAAGACACAAAGAGTGGATGGGAATTTCAACATCTTGTAAGTTAATGATAAATTATCATGGAGCAGAAATTCGCCAGCACCATCTTTTTATTTTAGAAGAAACAAGAAAGATTATATTTCAGTTTCTCTTAAATCCAATTCTGAGAAATTATATTGAACTAACAGGATAACATTTTCTGTTTCAACTGTTCCTGACAGTTTCCATTCCATAACCAAGAGAGAAAACACACTTGTTAACATGGTAAGAAGAGCAATAATTCAAACCTTGAGGAAAATTTAATTTCCAAAATAAATTGTAATATTCTTAGCATACACAAATGAGCACAAATTAAAATGTTATAAAAGAAGCATTAAAAAAAGAACTTCTTACTTCTTAAATATTGACTTGATTCAGATTAAGTAGAAAAACTGAATGCTGGAGGGCCATGTGAAACTCTTTGTGACCTCCACAGACTTATTTTCATCAAGAATAAACTCTTAAAAATTGGTTCATATTCAGGAGCATTTAAGTAGCCTTAAGAAATGTACAGCACAATTCTACAAACTTCCACTGGCATATAAGTCTTGTTGAATTAAATGGGGCTTATTTGAAGATAGATACGATTTCAGTTTAACATAAATAAGTGAACCATAGACAATTCAAGTTTTTTATGTACTATCCACAACTGAAGATAATCCTTGATTTAAATCTTCCAGTGTTATGACTCACACACATTAGGGATTTATAGAGTATTTTCTTTGTTTTATGTCAAAACAACGTCACATTTTAAATTCAGTGTCATTTATGAAGACGTCAACAAACATTAGTAGGATTCCGTGTTATAAACAAGCATTAGAATAGCAAAGTGTGGACAGTATTATTCAGAAAGAGAAAAATTTCTCCAATGGTTATTTTAATATTATTAAAATATATCTCGTGGAAATTTGGTAAAGTAAGAATAATTGATGTTTGCATAATTAAAATTCGATTGACTGCAATTTGTTTGCCTTTGATGTGAAAAACTAATCTCTGTTGTTTAAATTTCCATATAAGAATAGAAGTCAAGAATTTCCATAGCAATGAATGACAAAAAAACTTATGTACTACTTTGGAATCTGGAGTTACTTACTGTTTTACTTACAGAATGAGCAATACAAAATGTGTCTGTGATACATATAATCCTTACAGTATTAGATTTGTATATACAGAATTGACCTTTATCACAATAATGGTAACTATTTGTAATATTTGACTTTAGAAATTCAGAAAATTCCCAGACTACTGGAACAAGTAAAAATAAGTAAGATAGATCAGGGGAGCTCTCATAAACACCTTTTCTTCCTTGATTCCAAGCATTTCAAGTATGCAAAGCATATAGCTGATTGTACATATGGACCTAATTTATGTAAGAGTTTAACCATAATATGATTTGTTTATTTTTGGCTCAACGAACTTATGATCCCGCCCATTATGGTGTCTCCAATATGGTATGTTTAAAGAAATAATTTATTAATAGATAAACATAATCATTGTCTTCCTTTCTAATTTGTAATTTGCCCTGTAGAGATCTGGATAAACAAATGAAAAGAAATAGAAAACCTAGCTTTTTGCTTCTATCTGTTAATTATCTGGAACATGCAGTCCAGATAGGGTGTTGTCATTCTACATGAATAATGAAACTAAATATTTCTCTCCTTTAATTTTTTTTGAAAGCCAGATACCCTTATTCGATCTCTGCATCTCAGATAGCGGGTTGATAGAATAATTCAAACAAAGCTGTACCCCATGCCAATTTCAGTATGCTGAGTTCCTGGCAGTAAATTTCAACTGAAAACAAGGTTTTTCCAGTTTCCTTCAACAAGACTTGACAACAAATGGAATAAGGTTACAGAAATCTCAGCAATTAGATTCCTTCCACTACAGAAACGGGTTTGGCTCAACTTGCTAAGACAGAGCTTTTTTCAGTTTTTTACTTTTACTTTTATGGACAAAGAAGCAAATTGCTTTCCTGAAAGCTGAGAAATGTGCAAGTATCCAGGATAAAACTGTCAGGTCTTGAATACACTATTATTTGGCACAAGCCTATCTATTGCTTTTTATTGTAATTTCTTCCTGGACTATTGACCTTCCTTTGATACAGAATCTGAAATGGCTTGGCTGATATCTAACTATGCCTTAAAAATGCCATGGTGTTGTTGAATTATATTCCAAAAATATTAATTATTTAAGAACTTTGGTAGTGCATATGGAAAAGATACTACGATAGTTTTTTAGTTATCTGGCTGCACGTTTTGGTCCTTGCCAATGACTGATTTATGGTTTCTATGCATAGAATTTCAATATGCACATTAAGTCACTTAACAATTAACCATCTGACATAATTTCACCTCAGCTAAAATGAGATCAAGATATGACCTAGTAAAAGTGGCTGAAATAAATAAAGGAAACCATATTCAGCTTTGAAAAAGAAATGTCTATTATTACAGGTGCCTTAGAAAGGTTACATAGAGTTACTGTTGTTTCAAATTGGTTTTCTCTGAGTATGAATATCAAAAGCAAAAATTATCCAAGTC